ACTAAGAATTTGGTTTTTGGACATCTGAACGCGAGTGGAGCCGTGGGCAATGCTAGTTTTAATATACAGACTTTAGCAGTTATTAACAATATGTCATTTTGATAAGTAGCTATAACTAAGAATAGAACCCAGAACTTTTAATAAGCTGTCTGTTGTAAGCACGTGTTTGGGGAACAGTAAAACAAATTATGCTATTTTCGTATACTTTTGTTCAACATGTTACAGGTTAAAATTTTGATTTAGTATACTGTGCTTATACTCAGCGTTGTTTTTTACGATGATTTAGTGGATATTTTTTGTTAATTTATTATTTTATCTTAAAAAATAGCAAATGTTTATTTTTATAATTTTTTCTTTGACAGTGTGTATGTCAAATTATTTATTCACATTGATAGTATACAAAATTTTGGTAATAGCCCGGATAAGCTGATTTTGATAAAACTCACCAAGAGTTAAATTCAAATTTAGCTGCTGACAAAACTTTTTTTTGCATAAGGTAATGAAATTATCTAAATAATATTTCTGTTTCATATTATAATGGAAAGGAACAACAGTCGTCATTTAACAAGCACAGTATCAACAGTCAACACTATTATAAATCGAATAAACAGAAGAAGAAGGGAGAAGTCACTATAAAGTATAAACTTTCTATTTTTGCATGCAAAGTCTATGTCAGCTATAAAAATATGTATGTACAAGTAATATAATATGTATTCGATGTGCGTTATTCCTAAAAACGAATAATTTCATAGATTAAAATGCGAATCTAACAGTTTGCTGTATTTTATCTTACAGAAATTATATGAAAAAGCAATCATCGCCAAAATTATTAATCCTTCTGCAAAGCAGCATCGCATATATCAAATATGATTCACATGGTAGAGTCACGGATATTTCGGGATTATAACATAAGTATCTACGAATAACTTCGTTTTATTGTGTTTAAATGAAAATGTTGTTTATTTCATTGTAAATATGTACATATATTGATAAAATTATATTATTTTACCAAAAGTTTGTTTTCTATTTAGACTACCATTCTTTACTATTAATACCCATCTCGGGCATTTTCAACTCATTCAATCAGCTGAAGTTATAGGAAATATTTATAATTGTTATATTGGACTGTGCTCTATGCAAAATGGGATATTATTTCAAAAACTGTAATAATAAAATTTAAATCAAATCAAGAATTTTTACGTGTAAATGGACTTCAATAATAATTTCATACTACCTACTTACAAAAATAAAGAAATCAGAGATTTTTGTTTATATTTAGTACCTTGGCAACCTTCGCTCGGAGTTTCTTGCCAAAGGTACAATTTTCTTTAAAAAATCTAAAATAAATACAAAAAAAGTTAATTTAACCGACCGGGTTTCGAACCCGGATACCTATGAGTGTCAATCTTGCGACTTACCCACTGGACCACGATGTTTATATCCGAATGTGCGAAATTATCGACCATAATTTGAGTGGAATAATGCGAAAGAAAATCGCATGAAAACTCAAAAACCCGAGTTTTCCCAGACATAAGACTAATCTAGATCGATTTATCGCCCCGGATATCCCCTGTATGCTAAATTTCATGAAAATCGTTGAAGCCGTTTCCGAGATTCAGATTATATATATATATATATATATATATATATATATATATATATATATATATTGCTCGTTTAAATATATTAGATTTCCTGTAATATTTCAAATTACATACACAATTACTTTAATAGTTATTATCCAATATACTGTTGAAATTAAACACATTTCAAAAAGAAACATTCTCTACATTTTGTTCCTTTGATAAATCGATATACATTAATTAGTATATATTTTTACATACATTACGTCAACGAATTTCTTTTGATTCTTATCTGCTCAAGAACAAATCGGTAGCCATTATTCTCGCAATTACTGCACTTAATTACTATAGAAATATATCTGACGAATGAACATTGCAACGCTTGATTAAGGTTGTTACTCACGAACGTTAGAGCTACTTAAAATATTGTTATGCTACTTTAAACCATTTATTTTATTATTAAGTTGTCACAATAGTATTTGATTTTAATACTTGAATAATCTCTTAATTACTATACTATTTTTGCCTGCGGCTCCGTTGGCATTGTCATGTTTATAAAAAGACTTTAAACATTTTATAAGCTTATCTATACATATAATAAAATTGTAACTAAGCCGAATCTATACATTAAATATTTTTTAGAAAATATTATTGAAATAAACATTATTAACGATACAGAGGCCGAAACTATAGTTTTTAGAATTTTTGTCTATCTGTCTGTCTGTTACCGCATCACAAAAAAACCACTCGAGGGATTTTGATAAAATTTGGTATGGTGGTAGCTGGTTATCCGGGTCAACATATAGAATACTTTTACCCGCGGGAAAATATCTCATTTCTGAGAAAAAATACAAAAACTGCAATGTAGAGTATACTAATATGTAAAACGTAAGAATTTTGTTTTTGGTCATCTGAACGCGGGCGGAGCCGCGGACAATGCTAGTATTATATATAATTATTGTATAACAATATTGTACACAATTATCATTTTAAAAGAGCTACTGTTGAGTTTCTCGCCGGTTCTTCTCAGCAGTAGGTACTACCTTTCCGAGCCGGTGGTAGATTCCTCACGGTCTGACTATACTGACATTTAATTTAAATTTAAAACGTAAAATTGACGATTCAAGAGTTGTAAAAGTCTATTTGAATAAAGTATATTTTGATTTGATTTATTATGATGTTCAGTGAAATCCGTTGATTCCATACTGTTTCTATGTGACTGACAAGATCAATAAAAGCTGGGTTTTACCAATATTGCTGTAAAAATGAGTTGTTCTATCGTATTTTAAAGAGAAATATTCTTGTTAAAGTAAAGAACGAACACTTTTGTTAGTTTGATCTTTTTTCCCGCAGCAGGTTTAGGTGATATTTGGAAATAGGTGAATTATTAACAGTATTAAGTGGCTTCATTGATCCGTCGGATAGTTTGAGGCAAGAAATTACATACTTACAGACAAACAACAATAATCGCTTAAAGATTATATCACAAAGGTATGTTATATGCGCAACGACATGCTAAGTCTGTATTATCTTGTTCACGGTACTTTGAATGCAAGTCGCTATTGTACCGGCATGATTCAGGTCGGATTCAATTCCACTTTAATTGGCACAATTGCGCGCGTCCTTTGCCCCTGTATGAAAGCGAGACTAATTCATTCGTCTAACTTTGTTCGCAATCTAGGCCGATATCATTTAAATTGTGATTTTGCGTAGGCTATGTTATTCAGCAATATATACCAAACTAGTTTTCGTTTTGAACCAATTATTATCAGACACGGTTTAATTTTAAAGTGGAGTGTGGTGTGGTGGCTGGCTTAATATAATACCTTCTGCCACTTTTCAAAATAATTACTCCACGAAGGTTTTATATCTTATTAATATCTTACTAATCCTACTAATATTATAAATTTGAAAGTTTAGATGGATGTTTGGATGCTTGGATGTTTGTTACTCAATTATGCCAGAATGGCTGAACGGATCAGAATAAAATTCGGCACAGAGATAGATTATAGTCTGGAATAGCATATAAGCTCCTTTTTATCCCGGAAAAATGTATGGTTCGAGTGGGATAGATTTGTTTTTGCTTTTCTAGAGGCGAACCCGAGCGAACCGAGGGTGAGCTGTTAGAGTTACTGATTACTACTTGAACATATTATTATGTAAAATTTATATTATAGCTCATGCGTAATTTTTTATTATTCTGGAACTGTAATTGTTCATAAAACACATGTCACTATGTCGTTGAACAAATGTTACATGTTTATGTGAATATATTATTTAATTAATAAACGTATGGCTATTTTATATTAGAGGTAAAGAATTATATAAGCTAATTTCATATTCACCTTTCATTACACGACAGTCGACAGTCCATTAGGGAGTTGTGTGGGAAACACATGAAATGGACGGGTGCGGAAAGCCCCAAGAAAGGGTGCGTTATTTATAAGCAGTTGTACTTTATACTAAAGATTATATTTAAAAAAAGAATTGTTTTATGAATTTATTTATGTTACGTACGGTTAAGGGATAGAAATGAAAGTAATAAATCTTATGCGTCTATTTTTTGTCTTATCCACTAAGTGCGTAATATTTGTGCTTTTTAATTTATTAATGTAGTAAGTTAACTAGTTTTCAACTACAATTCCGCTTGGTGTCTAGGTATATAAATAATCTACACATATAATAAATTTATAACAAAGCTGAATCTGTAGGTTAAATATTTTTTGGAAAATCTTATTGAAATAAACATTATTATCGATACAGAGGCTGAATCTATAGTTGTTAGAATTTTTTTTGTCTGTCTGTCTGTCTGTCTGTTACCGCATCACAGAAAAACCGCTGCGGGAATTTTATGATGGTGATAGCTGGTTATCGGAGTCAACATATAGGATACTTTTACCGCAGGAAATTTTCTCATTTCTGAGAAAAAATACAAAAACTACAATGTTAGAGTATACTAATATGTAAAACCTAAGAATTTAGTTTCTGGTCATCCGAACGATCTGAACTTATTATCAAGTCATGATAATAAGTTATTTTCATTGCGAATTTTAACACAATACAAATATTCACTCGGAAACACTCGTATTATTAATATTAGTGTAAAAAATATTATACGAACACAAACTAAAACAAAAGAACAATATTTAAAATTGTAAAAAAAGTATTGAATCCCGCAAATAGCTATTACATAATAAATGAAAAATAGAAAATATTTCATTTTCCTTAGATTTTAATATAAAATGTTAATTGCTGACCATTAAATAAATGCTTATTAAATTTCAGAATCCATAACGAGAAATCGATAACAACAAAGGCGAAAGACCGCGGACGATCGAGACAGCCCGAATTATACGAGTTGGTGACGTCATGACGTCTACTGACACATCGACCTCCAGCCAAATATCCGCCGCCGCTATGGAAGAGCACAAGCGAACGGTCGACGAAGCTTTCCTAAACAAATTGAAAGGGCTCGTTGAACGATTGAGACTTGAAAATGTGAACTTGAAGAAGTCGCTCGACATCGAGCGGGGCGAAGTCAGAGCGCTCAAAGCCCGACACGAGAGCACCATAAGAAATCTAAAGACTGAATGCAAAAAGAAAGAAGATCTATTAGAAAAACAATTACGAACTGTCACAAAATCAGAAAAAGTTGAAGAACCGCTAGGCAACAACAAAATGGTGGAATTGAAAAAGTTGGCAACAGAAATTCAGTCTTTAAAAGCTGCGAATAAGGGTCTTCAAGAGAAACTAAAGGTGTGTAAAATTTCGTTTACATTTTATCCTATATCCATATTCATTTTAAATATTAAATTAAGTGCTACAATGCAATATGTAGCAAAATTATTAATAAATTTTGCTTTTACAACGACGAAGTTAAAGTAATCAACTTTAAATTAGCGGAATTTTATTAAGTAAGAGTTTTAATAATAATTCAATAATAAAAACTATCGTACTTAATAAAAGCCCAAAACTCCAAACTATTATAACTTCTTTGACGTTCCGTATATTCAAAGGCTTTTTTTCTTTATCATTTTCTATATACGTCACTGTAGTGTGTTTTTGGAAGAGTGTGTACTCGTCAGATTGGGTCCAGTGGTGAAGTATTCCCGCTTGATTTAAATGGTTTAACAAATAGTTAAGTTTAGGTAGGTAAGGGCTTCCATAGCGAAGACCATATACGATAGAACAAGGTACAGGACAATCTTCAACAGTGTGATAAAGAGGTCTTCCATCCTTCATATTGACTGGTTTGCGACTAATATATTGGGCGTCTGTTTTTCTAAGCAATACTGCGTATTGATACTGTCTTTTCTCTAGTACTTCTTTAATCTTCTTATCATTAAAAACTTCAGTTCTTCTCATAATTTGATCAACGAGTTCTCCGTTTATGCTTCTCTTGTATATCCTTAAATGACGATTATGAACTCCAAAAGTCAAATTAGTCTCTAGTAACTCTTCCATTGTATTTATATCGTTTTTATATCTGGGATACGATATGGCTGTCGTTATAATTCCCTGAAATATTAACACAATTTCAAAATTAAAAAAATTACAATCCTTTTAAATGGTACTTTTTTTTTTTTTTTTTTTTAATAGTATTCTGAATTAGAGCTTGACTACGTTCCACCTGATGGTAAGTGGTAACGCAGTCGTAGATGGTAAGTCGCACTAATTCCACCTATTCACTCTTGCCTTGAAGACACCCATGTTGTAATCGGACGGAAACACCGACGCCGGCAGGTTATTCCAATCCTTAGCCGCACGTGTAATGAATGACGTAGCGAAACGCTTCGTCCGGACCGGTGGAATGTCCACGACATAAGGATGGAGACCAGCCGTTCGTCGGGTTGTCCGATGGTAGAAAGGAGATGGAGGAATCAAGCCGTGTAGTTCCTGCGCACACTCTCCGAAATGTAACCTACTTAAAACATTTAATTAATAAGCGAAAAATAAAAATTCATGAAAACTTACGTCAATGGCACAATCCACTACCAAAGAATATATCATTATTAATAGTGCAACAGCTCTAAAAATTGGGCCATCAAATTTTATATCAACAGTCTGTCTTATGAAACACTTTACTAAATCAATAATTGTTTCAGACGTCGATCTTCTGTCTTCGAGATTCCAAATTTTAGTTTCTATTCTACGCATTATTATGCTTATAACTATAAAAACCACAACGGTAACTATAAATAAAAGTAACATGTCGATAGAAATTAATTTTAACGTTGTCTTAAATGTGGATTGGGTCGACGCCTTTTTTATAAGGAAGCACAGTTCATCTTGAACAAGAGGATACGTTGTGTCAATGTAACCATAGAAGGAGTTCTTTAATATTCGAGAGTTCAAATCCATATCACTATATCCGTCTAGTAAATCTCCTATGACTCCGGTTGCTGTACCGTTAGGCAAAAAATCTCCCACAGTATTTCCATCTCTTGGAAGTAGTGGTTTGCATGTTGCATTTAATATATTCAAAACTGTTGTTGCTAATTTTGAATTGCAGTAAACTGGTCCAGTTTCATCAGAAATATAGATTTTCCTAAAAACACTTAATCGAAGTTCATGACCATTCAGATCTTCGTATTGCTTAGCCAAAAGTTTAGTAATGTCCCTCACATCAGTTACATCTTTTATTTCTTTATAGAATGGATTGTAGCAGTACATTCTTAATTTATCCGTCCATATTACGATTATTGAATTAGTTATACTCCTACTCCACAATAACTGAAAATGGCGTATCATATAATAGTTAAAATAGCTGTTCATTTCAACTGGTACGTTAATGACAAATATTATTGCCGATCTAGGCTTGAAAACTCCAGTTCTTATTAAAGCTTCTATTGCATTTTCACTTCCTTCTACCGTCAAATTTTTGGAAGTCACTAAATAAGCAGTGTTTCCGTGTATATCAAGCTTAGGTTTGACTTTAGTGGCTTTTCGATCTTGGCAACCGTTCAACAGCATCACGGGATACCCATAGCCGTAGTTTTCTGTGTATTTTAGGATCCTGTTTTCAAAATAAGTGAAGTCACAGAAGGTTATCGTGAAAAACCATTGTTCGAACGCGTTAAATATTTTATTAACTACTTGATAAGCGAACTCAGCTTTTAAGTACGATTCGTTGTGATAGGCAAAGACTTCTTTATAGAGAGAATTAGATTCGTTCAAACATAGAGAAAGATTTACAAGGGTTAGGATTAAAATTATTTTTGACATACCGAATCACGTGTAGTCAGTTATCCGAACTTAAGTTATACTGAAGAGTTAAAGGTCAATTGAGTTTTAACGGCATCATTAATGTTGTATCACCAGTAATATGTAATAGGTACAGCCCGTCAATTATCGTGCATGGAAAATATTAGCATTGCTTAATTGCGTCGATAGCATGTACTCATTTTCGAACTAATAGCAAAGTGACACTCGATTTGAGCCATACATAATAACGTACAATAATAAATTTATAAAATGGTAACGAACACGCTTAGAAAAGAGATATAATATATGAAGTTGCAATTTTGTTAGCTATGGATAATATCCATAGTAGTCATTTTTGGTATTTTCTTCATTACTAATATAACGTAAGTCTATAGTTACAATCAACTGATATGTATGTAGCGATTTCTTTTTAGGTTCTTTTTTTTAAATAAAAATGCATGTTTTAAATTTTTACATTACACTATTAATTTACATATAAAACTTTAATTCAAATTGTAAACCTATCGTACAAATGCACTTGCGTATTTTATAATACATTATATACTATTATATACCTATCTAATATTAATCAGACCACTGTCTGCCGAGTTAAAAGCAAAAATGCACTAAAAGACGGAGATTGAAAGAGAATGAAAAAAATGGTGTCGCGGGACACCAGATAGGAATACATAAATATTAATTTCAAGTTCTAGTCGAGGTAAAAAGAAAATGATTATTCGAGTATACATTTTTTATTACGATTTTTTTATCGGTAAAAATCAAAAACTACTTAACAAAATTATCTTAACATTTTTATTTTATTCACAATGATTCATAAAACTATATAATAATAATAAGAGATGGTCGCTAACGACAGACTGTAGGCAAGCTAGATCAGCATTGCCCGCAGTCAACCCACGTCTCACTAAACGCCTACTAAACTTAAATAGAACGAATCTCAAAATAATGATAGGGACAATAACGGGCCACTGTCCCTTAAACAAACACTTATTTAACATTGGCGCAACGGACAGCCCTCTCTGCAGAGGGTGTTTTAGCGCTGTAGAATCAGTCGCTCACGTAGTCCTGGAATGCGTAGCGGTAACTTCCCAACGAAATGAAATCCTCGAACCGGTGAGGTCGCTCCGCGAAGCCTGTGAAGCTCCCAGGAAGCTTTTGCGCTTTTGGACGGAGTTAGGCTGGCTGAACTAGCCAGGATTCGCAACGTACAACGGACCAAATGCGAGTCTAAGTGCGGAAAACGAGTCCAATATACAATACAATACAATACAATAATAATAGTCATCACGTAGACTATACGTTAGACACTGTATAGCGAACACACATCAACTATACATAAAAATCTTACTCCACGCATTTTCGTTATGGACGTTACAGACGTTTTTTGCCGGTTAGGATACCACTCCGCATCGTCCCATAAGGAACTTCGTTCCAAAAAAGAAAGAAAAGAAGAGGGAGAGCTGTTATTTTTTATAACAAGTTATATAAGAAATATCTATGTAATAATTTTTGACATTTTACTGGAAATAAAACGTATTATTATTCACAATTCCTAAACATATTATGTTTGTACCAACATAAGAATAACATTATTTGCGTTCCTAATACTTAACATGTACCTACATTGTTTAATTTTTAAGTATAAATCTATATTGTTTTAATATTGATATGACTTATTGCAGGTAGCGCAGGCGGCGGAGTGCGCCCGAGCGGCCGAGCTCCGCGCGCAAGTCGCCAAACACAACGCGCTAGAGAACGCCGCGCGGAGAGATGCGCGTGCGCAGTGTCACAAATTGGTACATGTCACTTGTTATATTATATTGTATTATGATTTAAATACATTTAAAATTTGCTATCGAGCTCACAATGATATAGTAAGAATTTAGTAGCAAGGTATATCTTACATTAATTTATACGAGGTAAAGTTTGTAAGTTTGGATGAACCTAGTAGTGGGGTATGGTATAATCTCTGTAACTCTGATTTGAATTTGAAATTTCTTTTACTAATAGGGAGTTCTATTACCGTCTCGTAGTTTATATTTTCTTTTGGATATAGTGAGAACTTAGTAGCAAATAAAATTGTAGAAGGGAATTTTATTTCGCTTATCATTTGTATAAATGTAATTTTTTAACACCTCCAGGTAAATTACTAAGAAATTGATTAAAAATCTAATAAATCTATTGTTAACTGACACGCCGGCGTGTTCGCGGTAGTGAAGGGATTAAATAACACTATACTAACGTATTTAATTAAATTAAAAACATTATGTGGTATGTATGGTATGAAAATAAAAATAAAGCAAATAATTTAAATTAAAAGTAGTGACTATAATTATACATTATAAATTTTATAGCGCCTAAAAGAATTATACTGCAAAATCACGTGACAGTATAATTGTATTTGTATTTATAGAACAGACCATAAAGATATAAAACCGGCATTTATTATGAAAATTATGGAGACTTTTATTTTGGTAGGCTTGTACAGTTAGTCCTCGAGAATATTCAATGTTTGGTAAACCATGCTAATGAAAGTTGCCATCATATTAATAAAGGCGCCTTAAAAGATAAAAGTGAAACAAATAAACATACAATTTAATTAACTCATTAAAATTAAATTATAAATTTTTTTATATGCAAAATATACATACGACGAACATAGAACCTGCTCCTTTTTGGAAGTCGGTTAAAAAGTAATAAAAAGAATTCTATACATAGTTGGCTCATATTGTAAATAATTACGTATAGATACTGTTAATTAGATATTTTATAAAATATTTAATTTCGTAATGTATATTTCAAACTAATTGCCAAAATAATGGTAATTTACCTTGTTTGTTATCGCAATTGAATTTAAGTCAGTAAATATAAAGTACCTACAAGTTTTTCCCCACTGTAACTTTACTAGCGACTCAGTGTGTGTCTTAAATGACGTCGCAAATATTACTAGTAGTCTATGTGAAACTCCAGGTCATAGTCGATGTATAATAATAATTATTATTATTATGTTGAGACATTACCTGCACACAGCACCATCTAGTTCCATGGTAAGCTACGAGGTCTGTGTTACGGATACCAGATAGTTGATACACTACACATATATAACTTTAAATACATACATATTATAAATATATGTATATACCCATGACTAGAGTACAAACATTCGTGCTCATCACACAAATGAATGCCACCAGCGGGACTCAAACCCGCGTCCGCTGGCACAGCAAGTAGGGTCGCTATAAACTGAGACAAACGTGTCGTCGCTGTATATACTAAACTTCGTCCAAATCCGTCCAGCTGAAGAAGTACCAAACATACATATATACAAACTTTTCCATTATAATAGTAGAGTGATTGTCTTAATAAAACCACTGTATTTTACTTATTATTCACATAGAGTAATTAAGTTACAAATGATATAAAATATGTCTTTATCAATATAGTATGTTTTTTTTCCTGCAGCTGGAGGAAATAAAATCGAAGGAGCGGGTGATTATTCAGCTCAGGAGAGAGGCGGCGCGAACAGCGTCCAATGAACAGGTATATTTTAATTTAAAATACCTGAATTCACACATACAGCATACAAGAAGTGTTACAGAGTGCAAGGAAAATATTAGTATATCTTATATAATTACTGCGTTTTACGTTTTGTCTAAATATTATTAGAAGTCATATTAAATGCGTTGAATGTTAGAGAAGGATTTGTTTACGACGCCAGACAGTTACCCCATTAAACTATGGTGAACATCATGTTAGAAACTTAGATAGACATGGGAAACTTAGCCGAGATGGTGACACTAGCTAATGAGAAAAAATTATCAGTGTTAGAAAATTTTGTACTTAAAGTTTTTTATTATCTAAATAACCGAGTAAAATTATTTGGACAGATTTACCAAAAATAGATTTTGTTGTCGATTATCTTATCATTCTACATCTGATTGAAAAACCCGGGCTGATATGAAATTGTACTGAAAGGCTTTAATTTTGACACCCTATTTTCATATTGACATAGGGGTTTGCCGACAAAGAATTTATTTAAATTAAACTTCAAAAATAAATAAATAATGGCAATCGCTGTGTTCGTTAACAATAGGTATTTTTTCGGTAGTGAAATTAAAAATAAATAATTTAACATATGAAAATGAATGCTTATCTATTAATATTAAGTTAAAATATATCGGTAATGGGAAGAAAGCATCTGAAATCCTATTTTAAAAACGAAATTCCACTCCACAAACTTTAATTTTGGTAGAAAGATTGCTCCAGGATGATAAGGAGTACCCGCTAAAAAGAGATTTATGGCAATTCAATTCAATTCAAAGGGATGCGTTCACTAGGGATAAAAAACAAGGGATGACGTGAAACTTTCTGCTGCAAACTTGCTTACTTGTTGTAGCTTAACGCCGCTTGCAATTTCAAAAATGTTTTAATGGCAAGTTCGATTCTCAAAATATATTAGATGACCAGACTGTGATAAAGTACCATTGCACCTTTTTTTTTTTTTTTTTTAACGTTGGGAAATGCATTTACGCACGACGTGTGGGACTCACCGGCGTAATACAGCCAGTACTACCCACTAAAACCCAACAAAACCTTCCCCCGTCTTAATGGGGCGTCGCAGGATCGCTTACGCATTCAACTACGACGCCCCGACGGCAGGTCCGCCGAAGCAGACCACCACAACCATGGGGTTGCTCCACAGTCCACTCTGCTATCAGAGAAGTACCAGGAGCAACCCGCATGGTACACCGCCCTCCGAAGAGGGCCACCTCCCACCGCCCACCGAAGTGGGCAACCTCCCTGTGCGTTTCTTAGCTTCGCTACTGCTACTGAGCCCCCCCACCACGACAAGGTGAACGCACATTGGGGGGGAAGTACCATTGCACCTAAGGTAACCTAAAATAATATATTACATGTAAAATGTTTTATATAGTTTCCTTTCAATATATTTTAAAATTTTCTTTATATTTATGACATATATTTGAACACACGTAGAACTTCTTTAAAACGATATGTTAGAGTTCACGTACACGCTTAAAGTAATTGTTATTCCATTCAACGCCATATTTCTACAAACGAGCCGAACCTGCTGCGAGTTCTAAGAAATACTAATGTTGTGCTTAGGTAAACGTCAATATGAACTTGTATTATATATGTATGGTAGCTCAGTGATTACGCGCTCGCTTGGTTAGCCCAGTGAAGCAGGTTCTAATCCTGGGTCTCGCCCCTTTTATATTTTCTTGTACGAATTATTTTCAACATGACGACCACTTGTCTTACGCTCAAGGAAAACATCGGAAAGCCTACATGTCTAAGAGAACGTAGCAAGTTTTCGACAGACATTTGAAATCCGCCAACCCACACTTGGCCAGCGTGCTGACGAGATCCCCCTCGTATTGAAGGGAGACTCGTGCCCAGCAGTGGGATTTTAAAAAGGGCTGGATACGATACGAATGAATATGATATATTTTACTAAAAGCTTGCGTGTAATGAAACATGAATTTAATTTAAAACGATGTAAATTATGAAAAGCTAACCCTTATGATCCTCAGTAGCGTGTAATTTTATGGGTTGATATAAAATATGAATTAGTATAAAAGCAAATACTAAGTAGTTTGTGTTAACTTAAGACGAGCTTACATTCTATACGGCACCGGCTTAATATGAAATGTTATACCGTAACCAAACTCCCCATGGCTTCCCATACTCACTTCAGGGAAATCTCTTTAAAGCCTTAAATATGATTATAAGTTTTCATAGCGGTATTTTTGAGGTATTGCTTTTAATATTTTTATATTATTATTGTCAATTGACTGTTTTTAAATAAAATGGTGAAACGACTTCTCACTCTAAAAGTAATTATTTATTTGGAGCACGTTTTTTTTCCTCCAAATCTATATGAGACTTTTTCATTCTTCTAATAATTTCATAGTTGGCATGTAGCATATCATACACCTGAAATCACTAACTATACTTTTTTGAAGTTAGTCAATGTAGCTTCTGTGCACTTTTTCCTGAATGCTGAAGATCTTATATTCGTATAATAAAATTGTAACTCAGCCGAATCTGTACATTAATTATTTTTTAGAAAATCTTATATAATAGACATTCTTATAGATACAGTATTGTACTTTAGAATAAAAGAAAAACGCAATTTATTCAGCCAGTGTGAAATTAACAATTTTTTTTAAATATATTTTTTTTAATCTATAATTATACTTAATTATATCAATAAATAACTATCGATAGTATCATCGTCTTGAAAGTACACAAAAATAATGGCAGTTGAATAATAATTCGTAAGTCGAGATGTTCAAAGTTAGGCAGGATAATGTAAGGATGCAAGAATTTCTAAATCGTGTGAAATAGCCTCGGGATATCAATTTGATAGGCATTCAGAGATGTTCTCAGCAGTTAAAACAATTATCAAAATTGCTTTAGGCTACGTATTTGGTTTTATGCACCACATATAATTAAATCTTATTTGTATTTTTACTGTTGTTATTATCATTGAACTACATACAAATATCTAATCTCGTTATGTTCTTTAGAGCCATATTAAAGAGTGTAGTGTAGTTTTTTGTAACGAAACTTGACTGTTTTTCTTTGGCATCTCGTCTCGTATAAATTTTAATAAAAAAGTCATTGTGCTGAGTTAATGTTATGGAAATATAAAAAGTATTTAATTATCTTTTATTATTGTGTCATTGGATCAGTCTTCAAGCGTGACATTTAATTTACTTAGTAGATACGTACTATGTAATAATTTATTGTAGATCGTCAAAACAATGGTAAATGCAGAACTGCAATCGTTTACTTTTAATGAAAGTCAAAAAATGTAGATAGATCATTCGTAAAAATCCTATACCTATTAAAATGAAACTTGCTGTATTATGTTCGGAAAGAAGTTATGCAATAAAAATATTGAAATTCTGCATAGAATTGACTATTTATAATGTCATTGTTATTGTTATTCATGTTTTCATGTAAATAAATATTATTACAATATTTATGTGAATCATTATAATCAATTCCATTTAAATAACAATAAAAATATTATGTAAACAAATATTAGAACCCCTTATATTTAGGACAACTTTGATAAATATTGCTCTATTCGCGATTTTACCACAGAGTGTTTATTAGATGCCTATTAGTTTAATAGTAACCTATTAAAAACACTGTAATCTTACTGAATATGTATGTAAATGTAAAGAAATTGATCTGTAAATAATATAAACGAGCGACTTACTCTCGCATCTCTAGGTACGCGGATTTTATTCACAATTTCAAGGGTTTTAAATTTTTTGCGCGGTACCCTAATTCTATTGATTTAAATAAGTAGCCTTTATAAACTCAGCTACATGCGAGTGAAAGTCCCATCAAAATCGGTCCAGACGTTTCTGAGATTAGTTGGAACAAACAAACAGACAAAACTGTTAAAAATTCTTTATTTCTTATAGGTACCGTATATACTTTTGTATGCGTTTAGTATAAAGCTATTATTTTGACATTACAAACAGAAACTTCAATTTTATTTATTTGTATATAATGTAAATGTATTGAACTGTAATTTTTAATTTGCCTACGTTATATTTTATGCCCTAGTTAAAAAATATATTATACTTAATAACTTTTATCTGATGACTGAGAAATCAGTTCTTACGGTTTTAGGTAACTAAACGTGTTCGTGAGCGGTGAGATGGTCAAAAAACAACAGAAATTTGTTGTATGAGATATATAATTTTTTTTATATATTTTTTTCTAATTCAAATATTATTTTTCTCGCGGTAAAAAGTATCCTATATGTTGAACCGGATAACCAAATATACCATACCAAATTTCATGACAATCCCTACAGCAGTTTTTCTGTGATGCGGTAACAGACAGACAGACAGACAAAAATTCTAAAAACTATAGATTCGGCCTCTGTATCGATAATAATGTTTATTTCAATAAGATTTTCCAAAAAATATTTAATGTACAGATTCGGCTTAGTTACAATTTTATTATATGTATAGTTATTGTTGCTTTATTGATCAGCTTGCACATGTGTAAAATATTCGTGAGGCTGAAATCATTGAGCTACGTAACTTTCAGGGTTAAAACGTTGTCATTAAATTTTTTACACCCTAGCGTTAGTATATTCGTATTTGCAAATATGAATCACTTGTTGTGAATAATGAATGTTTATATTAAACTGAAATCTGTAATTTATAAATAGTATAAAATATACCATTTAAAAACAGGAAAAATAATAAAAATTGTCTTTGTTTGTGTATCTAATCGTTGCTAGCCGGAACGGTTGTACCTTTTGTCCTACACTCCATCTACTTTCTTGAGAAATATAAATGGTTACCATGAAAGAGGATAAAAATAGATAAGTTAATCGATTTGGAAGACGATTTTCACTGACAGATAGGGGGACACAAAAAAAGTATTAACAGCTTTCATTTATAGTTCAAGTTCATGCGTTTATCAATATTTTTTTTCCATGTCAAATCTTGGTTTTTGACTGGCTTCAAAAATGTGATGGTCCG